AAATGAAAAAAAAAGTACGCAGCACCGCCATGTATTTGTAAATAGAAAATAGTAATAAGTAATAGTAATAATGTTCTATCTTCACATCTTCAATACAAAATATGCAATTGTAATCGAAGATTTATGAAATAATTAATAAAATACATTCACTCTGTAGTGTATTTACACGAACAAATCCGCCATTAGTCCGTATAGCACGATTTCATCTCGCTTAAATGAGTATTGCACCGCTATACGTTCGACCCCCTGAATCGGAGGTAGTGACCATACACCAATATGGGAGTCTTACAGGCACATGGGTCACATACTTCTGCCACCATATCCCTTATATAATAAAATTGTTAAATCGTTTAAAATCTATATGTACGAAAAAATATTTATTTTTAGATGCAAAATAACACAATCTGGTGTAATCTGGCATCATATTCAATTACCCTTCAGACCCTCATAATTATCTTAATAGATTATATAATAACTCAAATGATTATTCCCTTAAGAAAAATGAATTGCAGCAAGGCGGCGTTGTTTTCTTGCAGCAAATTTATCCCCCAGAGTTAATATCCATGTCTCTATAAATATACATAAGGCCAAGTTCAGATAGTCTGTCAGTGGTCATGGTAGATCTGAGATATGTTTCCAGTCTCTTCATTGCGCTGAATGACCGCTCCGCTGTAGCCGTAGACACTGGCATACTGAGCAGAACTACCAAACAAGGACGGACATTGGGATTGTACTGTTCATTGGCCAGTTGTAATGTGCCCAGAAGTGTTTCACGACCTTGTGGACGGCCCAACACAGGTGCCATATTGATCCATCATGTTACCTTCTTCTTGAAGGTCGCTTCGTCTGTACCACCTACACAACCATTGTATCGTCTGTGTATTTAGCTTCCATCTGTTTGTTTGGTTTTGGTTTTATGGCTCACTAACACAATTTAGGTAATATGATGCCGAAACAGGAAAGATGATTTTGCCAAACATTGAGTGTTAACAAACTTATAGCAATACAAGGGGTCAAAACCATGAGATGCATATACTCCAGAGATCAAAACCATTTAGTAGCCTCTTACGATCATACAGAGATAAAAGGCGGCTGTCTGCATAAAAGGTGGCTGCTTGCACAATTCTGATGTCTCAACCCTTAAAGACAACAGTGTTCTGTCGTCACAAGTGTGATGACAAATTCAAAAGTCGAAACATATATATAGTTAGTAGGCAGCAGCTTTCGTGTCCCCTTCATTTGCCAGGAACTCCAATGCACTTACTACGGTGTTTGAAAAAAAAGATATATTATTAGTTATGAAGATTTTGACAGATTATTTGGAAATATGACCCGAGCCGCTAGGCGAGGGTTATTGCAAACAACCGTTTATATATTGCCAAATAATCTGTCAAAAATCTTTATAACGAATGTATACTACAGCAAGCATCATTTTATTTAGAGAAAAAGTAAGATTTCTTCATAAATCGACAGCAGCCGTGTATATTATTAGTTATAAAGATCGTTTACAGGTTATATGATCCTATATAAACGGCTATTTGTAAATATAACCCGAGCCGTAAGGCGAGGGTTATATTTCAAACAGCCGTTTATATACGGCCATATAACCTGTCAACAATCTTTAAAACGGCAAGCATCATTTTTAGAGTAAAAAAAGTAAGATTTCTTCATGAATCGACAGCAGCCGTGTATATAAAACTATATAAACGTCACGATTATCCAATGAAAAATGACGTTACAAACGTGCAGTATTATAGAAACTACAAGAAAAGCATTGATGCAAAGCATCAAAGGGCGTCCAAGCAAGAAATGCAGCAGGTGAAGATGAACTAGTAGGCATATGATGACAAAATATTCTTATAATCTTTTCAATGGTTAATTGGTTTTTACCAGAATTGTATATCACTTATGAATGAACGGACGAAAGACATTGTTCATTATGAACTTTGATTGGCATGCTAGAGATTAGAATATTACTTGTTATTTCTTTATGATCGTGATAGCAACGGATATACATGTATACAATCATTTATAATCCATATGTGTAACGCATGATCAACACCACACTTGTGTAATTGTCCCTTATTATGTTATCACTATTAGCGAAGAACCCCTCTTAATTTAAGGTATCTGTTCACACTTGGTAAAAATATGACACTGGTTATATTACCATGTTGAGCATAATTGTTTATTATACAATAATTGTAATATCTATTTTAATAAAAAAAAATGCAGATTTTATGAATATTTTTTTTTTCTTTTTTGTGTTTTATGTGCTATTTTAATACTGAATTTTTACGTTTACTACTCTTTTTTTATTAAAAATGTAAAAGAAATTTTAAGAATTCAATTGTCATATTGACCGACGATAATAAGTCAAAACTTAACTGGAAAAAGTCAGTAAATTATGGTTATATAATATTGTTTATTCTTAAACCATGTACATGCACATTTGTATTTTTCTTTATCATTTTTTTTAATTATCAATCAATTGAATAATTCATAAAATCTAATTTGTAACTTTGAATAATTCATCGGCATCTTTACTAAACACGAATAACACATTACATAAAATGTTTCAAAGGTGATAGTGTCATATTATTACCATAAAAATGTACCTTTTTTCTCAGTTATTGTACATATTTATTGTTCTTATAGATAAAATTAAACATGCTATTGTTGTTGTTGTTGTTTTTCGAATTGTATGTTTATGTATAATAATAATCAATAAGTTTGAGAGTTGATCTGTGTTTATTAATTATTGTAACCAAACTAAGTGACAAACATTCATTTTGGAAAAAAAGGTTATTTATCTGTAAAATATTTGTTCTGTTCTGTTACGATATCAAACATCTACTCAGAAACCGGGAGAGACCGGACAATAAACGTGTGATACTATTCGCCGGTCACTAGTAAATCCCGGTCAAAATAGACCGGGAGAGACCGGGAATTACCGATAGGAGTACATCCCTCTATAAATAGATTTTCGAATTGTTTAGGTCATCAACTCATCATTCTATATGCATGTATAACTATAACGTACCATAATAACCCACTGTGTACTACAAAGTGATAAATAAAAAAAAAACCCGAAGAGCGCTATTTATTGACGGAAAAGGTTATTTCATTTGAAAATGTTTGCATTGCGAAATTCTCCAGTTCGCTATTCATTGTACATTTCATTTTTATTTAATAATCAAGCACCCTCATACCGATCGGAATGATCGGCTTTTATCATGACCGACTAAAAGGCTCGAGAAGTTGCTGTCGCCCTTTCACAAAATCTGATTTCATTCCATAAAGGCCGCCGCCCTTTCACAAAATCTGATTTCATTCCATAAAGGGCGCCGCGCTTCGGCGCGGACGCCAATAAAACGTTTTAACCCTTTCCCTAATGAGCACATTGTGAAAAATGGCCGTTTTCATTGAAAAGCCTCATGTTACAAGTTCAAACTGCTATGAAACTATGAAAAATGCTTCAATACTAATCAAACTTGGCACAAATGTTGACTGGACCATTGTCTTTGTAACGACATGCTCAGTCTTAAATTTCCTGTTACCATGGCAACGAGGGGACATCTCAAAATTGCCAAAAATCACTATTTTGCCTTGATTTTTTCCAATTTTTCACATCCCCCTTCTGGCAACCCCCTGATGTATCTTTTGGATGGGGGCGGCGCCAAAAAAGTGCTCACTTTTTTAGCACCATTTCTCAAACAAAAACATGTGTTTGGGGCCCAAATAGGACATTTTTTTCTCAATTTGAGGCCTAAAAGAGGGTGGGTCGAAAAAGCGTTGTTTCGCGTATATATGAAGTTTAAAATTGACCATCATCTTGAAGAACTATATCTTCTGTGTCGATGGACCAAAGGATTATGTGAAAATATTGGAAATGGAATAAAATACATGGTGATTATGACGGTAGGGGTGCGGATTTTTTCCGGCGAACATTTTTATCTTGTGTATTATTATAGATGTTGAAATATGAATTTTTTTCAAAACGGCTTATATTAAGTTTTTTTGATATATATGATCAGTACATATGCTGGGATTGACAAATATGCATGTAATTTGGATTTTAAAGGCGTTTTGAGCTCTAAACCCCAAGTGTCTGTGACTCCGACGCCCGGGTGAGTAGGATATAATAGTCGAGCTAAAAATAATAACTTTCAAATCTACCTCAGTGTTTGCTATTAAATTAAAGTAAGATATAAATATCTAATTCTAATTTATGCACCTGTCATTAATCAAGTTCCTTTTGATAGCTCTTATCTGAGACAATGTCTACCATGTGACCTATACACGCTAACAAATTGTTTTATTCGAAATATATATCTCTCAACATGATAATATTCTGATAAAGACGATTATGCTGATAAACGATTATCGTTATCTCCAGAAGACATTTTATATTTCTAACAATGGTTTTCCAGAAGGAACATCTTTGAAATTTATTCACATTGCCAGTCACACAAGATGTAAAAGGTTTTTGGGACAGTCGATATATATAATTGTTATTTACATGTTATGTGCAATTAATGGCTGATTTTACAGTATTAATCCCTATAATAAGTATAATTCTATAGCGTTACTAACGCAGTAAGAGGTATTTATGTATATCTTGACCTCTTTTTGGTAATAAACGTGGATTGTAAGTGCTGTTTGCAATGTGTAAATTACTTTTTTTGGTCACTTCACAATACTTTACCGTTAAATACATTTTCAAAAATTTCATGAAAATTAGCATGAATCTGGAGGCGTGCTGCTTTAAGCGTTCCACGTGCTTATACGAGAGTATTTTTACGCCGTATTAATGTCGCTGATGATACGCCATACATGTCATTATATTGTACATGTTATAATTAAATAAGTTGATTTCATATAATTTGACTAGTAATATTATAAAAGTAAATATAAAAAAGATAAATGTAATGATATAAAAAAAATTGTTTCATTGAATAAATTTCAATCTTCGATGAAAGAAAATAAATAAGATTGGCATATAAAGTAGAAAACATATTATTTACCGTTCACAAAGAATCAAAAGATGCTATGTGATTACTACATTTAAGTTTTTTATAGCTTTGAACAAGTGTAAATTAAAAACAAAGATGGACGTTGGCAAGGAGAAGAACACTGGAATTAATCTTGAAACGATTGCGCATCCTGAAAGTGTAATAAATGATTTAGATTATAACGATGCGATGAGAAGGAAGAAGAATCTTAGGCTGAATTTATTTTGGTTATGTTTGATCTGGGTTTTTACCTTCACGGCCTATTCTGGCTTGCAGAATTTAGAAACAAGTTTAGTACCGGGTATCGGAGTTTATTCCCTCGCTGCCATAACAGGAGGTGGACTTATATCTTGTATTGTTGCGCCAGCTATCATTGGCAAGATCGGTGCCAAGGGAGCTTTGATTGTTTCTTGGATATGTCTGGCAGTATTTGTCGCTTCAAATTATTACCCACAAATATATGTGCTGCTTCCAGGAGCAGTAATTGAAGGCCTCTCTACTGGATTAATGTGGACTGCGCAGGGCGCATTTCTCACTACAATCGCTATTGAGTATAGTAATCTTATAAACGAGCCTTTGGAAGCTGTTCTAAGTAGATTCTTTGGTATATTTTGTATGGCTTTCCAAAGTACTCAAATATGGGGTAACGTTATATCATCGGCTGTTCTGAAAGAAGAAATACTTGTTACAAATTCTTCCACAAACAATAGTCTACATTCGCCACCTTCTTTTTGCGGAACAGACGATTGTCCGTGGGACAAACTTGGCGGGAACGGTACGCAGCCAGTTGACAACATTCCTCAATGGAGAGTTTATACGCTCATCAGTGTTTATCTAGGATTTACATTAATTGGACTTATTATTACTATATTTCTGATGAAGCCGTTAAACTCTGAGGGGCCCAATGACGTTAATGTCGGTAAACAACTTTTGGCAACATTACGACTGTTGGTAACAGACATCAGAATGGCGTTGCTGGTTCCAATGAGCATTTGGACAGGCATGGAGCAAGCTGTTCTGTTTGCAGAATTCACGAGGGTATTTCTGCATCTTTACGTTTTAGAATGTGACCGATATCGATGATTCTATTATCTAGATATTTTACTATCCAAAAAAATCCTTTCTATTGCTTATTTTCTTTATTAAGTTGAAATTTTGTTATCTACGTAAAATGATATACATTACGAGGGTTGTCCCAATATTTTGTGACAATATTGTATAAAAGCTAAATAAAATAGTTACGAATTTGATACTTTGATGTCATATAAACCCATGTTATGGAAATATGTTCACAAATTTACATAGACAAATATCAACAAACAACAAAATTATGCCATAAATACCATAGCAACTATTTGAAACGCGGCGCACGTCAAACGTCAAAGACGGCGTTTATATTAAGCGCCTTCCTCAATAGCATTCAACGCATAAACGGTGCAGTTTTACTCATTAATCGTCAATTACGGACTGATATTATGTGGTTGTTAGTCCGTGTTGAATGTTTGGACGGCATACACTAATTTCTTGCTAGAAGCGAACTTCCGGTCTCGTTGTACCTGTTTTAGCTGTGGGAAATGGGCGACGGTCATCTGTCTTTCTACTCGTCTTTTCCCTATATTCGCTTTCTGTAGTACAGCACTCTGGTTCCGTTCATATCTTTTGTAAATAAATGCTCGGGATATGTTGTTTAACTGTTCTATACGGTAAATTAGTTGAATTATCATAACAGGTGTCATCCCAAAATACACACGAAACACCTGATAACTGCTCGCAAATTCTTCGGATGTCGCCATTTTAACTTTCCTAATTTATATGAGATATTTTCATTTTTCCATATCTCGTTCCTTTCTGAAGTTATTTAACTGAAATTGTCTACGATGATGTCAAGATAGCAGCAGAGGAAGTCAACGTGATATTGTGCAGACACAGTATCAGATATTTGAAATAAGCGTTATTTATTTAAGCCTATTCATAACAAAATGCAAAGTATTAGACGTGCGCCGGGAGATCAAACCAATGTTGTTAATATAAAAAAAAATTAAGTAACTTGAGTGGATATTTTGTAAATGATTTGTTGTAATGTAAAATAATAAACTTAAAGGTTATTTGTGCGAATTATTATCTATTGGCGTTAAAAATGAACCGTCTGTAAGATTTGTCAGGGACTTCCGGAACAACCCTCGTATATGATGTTTTTATTCACCTTTGCAGTCTTTCGTTGCCTGTGAGCTTGGTATTAGTTATGTTGGCTGGACAATGATCTGTTTCGGCGTGGTAAACACGGTCAGCTCTCCTTTATCCGGGCTACTTGGAAAATACCTTGGTCGGATGCCACTATGCTGGATTGCTACATTTGTAAATTTAGGGGTTTTAGCACTAATGAGATTCTGGACTCCTTCTAGAAATGAAATTTACGTATATTTCATAATACCTGGTCTATGGGGACTTGCGGATGCAATATGGCAGACACAGAGTGGAGGTCAGTTCCTTTTTTCCAAACACATGTACATATATGGGCTCCAGTCTCACTAGGTATTTCCCGTAAAACATCAAAACATAAAACAAAATTCAGTCATAAACTTAATTTAAAGTTGACTTAAGTTTAAAACTTGTTACTAAAATACGAGTACATGTACTTCCAATATTTTATCTGTAAAAGTTATTTGATGCGTCATGATCAATCTTTTGGAACTATTTCAGCCATGGTTGGCGCCATTTTCTCTACAAACCAGGAACCAGCGTACGCTAATCTCCGTTTATTTCAAGCTTCCGGGTTCACAATGGCGTATTTGTACAGTAACTCCCTCTGTGAATACATCAAGCTTTATATAGCAGGCGCTTTTGTTGTGTTTGCAACGCTGTTACAGACTATAGTCGAAATTATAGTGCGGAGGAGTGACAATCAAGTGATAGAACTAAATGTCCGTTACTGATGAAGTTCGATTTGTATACAATCATGTAGTTAATTCAAATTAACTTCTCCACATTTTTGGAGTCAGAAGTCTCATATGTATGAGGATTTAATTCATAATTAATCTAGACTATAAATCGGATTAGTTTTAGGTTTAAAAAAGGCTGTGAGTGTTTTTGTTAAATTGATTAATCAAAAATGGATTATATATCGTTGTAAACTTTGTTCTAAGATGTGTACGTCCTGTCATTTTAAAAGAGATAAAAATAAACATTTGCTTAAATTCAAATGAATGTACATGTATATCAATGTAATAAAATCAAGTGCAGCTATATGTAATGTATATACAATCAGCTTTATCCGCTGTATAGATCTCTCTAACAGTGCTGATCGTTTACAGTAGATGGTATGCAACTAAAACAGGTGTATTAATTTGGCGGCCCAGCGGCGTGAAGTTGGCGGTTATCGGTCTAGCGGAGTAAATTTGGCGGCCTAAACTTAAAAATACAAGTTTGGCAAAGAAATTAAAACGACTCTTAATTAATTTTTAAAGACATATCTTACTATTTAAAAGTTACATAAAAAAACATTTAGACAGCTTTTTTTATCTCTAGGTCGTCAGCCGGAAATTTTTTATGTTGTAGAAATGTTATAAATATGATAAAAACGGTACTTTATGAAGTTCTTAAGACTATTCTTGATATTTATAAGGTATATAAAAAGAAAAAATCACTTTCAGAGAACTTTTAAATTTTCTCATTTTTGTGAAGTTGGCGGCCCAGCGACTAAAAATTTTTATGTTGTAGAAATGTTATTTTAACGATAAAACGTCTAAATGTTTTTTATGTATCTTTTAAATGGTAAGATATGTCTTTAAAAATTAATTAAGAATCGTTTTAATTTCTTTGCCAAACTTGTATTTTGTTTAAAGTTCAGGCCGCTAGGCCGCCAACTTCACGCCGCTAGGACGCCAACTTCACGCCGCTGGGCCGCCAGGCCGCCAACTTCACACATCTTTGCCAAACTTGTATTTTTTTTAAGTTCACAAAAATGATAAAATAAAAAAGTGTTCTCAAAGTGATTTTTTTCTTTTTATATATCCTTTAAATAACAAGAATTGTCTTTAAAACTTCATTAAATTAAAATGGAAACTGAAAAATGTAAAATATCAGATGAATTAAGGATAGACATGGAAAAGGTTACGTACAGTTCTTATGTATAATTAGGACTACTAAGTTATGTATAGACAAATGGTTATATGTAGCGCCGATATATGTCCAAACGTCGAAAAATGTCCAAACGACGATAAATGTCCAAAAATTGACGATATATGTCTCAATCGCCGATAAATGTCCAAAACTCCTTTAACGATAAATGTCCTAAAATTAACGAAAAATGTCGCAACAAATTAGGTGCTGATAAATGTCCAAAACGGTTAACGATAAATGTCTCAACTTTTCATATGTTAATTTGTAATTTATTGTATTGGATACTGTAACAGTCTATCCAACTAACCCGTGATTTTACCCCCGACGTAAAATGTATCATACATTATTGTGCATGGCCAGTTCCAGATCCGGATGGGGCGGGGGGGGGGGGGGCAAGTGCCTTCTTAACTCACCGGAGCAGTACGTTTTAGCATTGTTTGTTTCTTCAATATTTTTGTGCCCCATATAGCGTTGCCATTGTCCGTCCGAGTGTCTAAGTGTCCGTCCCGAAAGTTTGTAAACGGTATTGGGGCGTGGACAGAGTTGCATATTTCTTTACTGTCAAGTGGTCAAAAGTTAAGAAAAATATGCAAGTCTATCTGGCAAACAAAGCAGTTACCCTGTATAAACCATGTGAGCTAATCAAGGGGTTAACTGCTTTGATAGTTAAAATCTGACCTACTGATTCAACAGCGAACAGTGCAGACCTTGACAGGATGACGCATTTGCTTGTCGGGGGATACAGTATGGTTCGACAATGGTCGTTATAAGCATATACGCAACACGTGTAAAATGGGTTTTGTGACTTTTCTCTTAAGTGCTGCGAAGACGGTCCTTCTCATGCTACATTGATTTAAGACATTTGTATTTGATTATTACTCATTCGCGCGTGGTGGACTGAACGCCACTGCGGGGTCACCGCCTTTATAAATACAGAGTTTTGAAAGGCTATTTACATGTATCCCTCCAGTGTCGACCCAGATCAGTTTGCACGCAAATGCGTCACCAGATGAGGGTATGCGCTATTAAACACCAGTAATTGGTAGTTAAGGTTTTGTTTCTCCCTATAGTGTGGCACTTTCAAGATCAACCTACATGGTTATACATGAATATTATATGTTATTTTGGTTTTGGAGTGATATATGTGGATATATAACCTGCTAAGATTTTATATCACCCGAGCCGTTAGGCAAGGGTGATATTTTATCTTGGCAGGTAATATATCCACATATATCACTCCAAAACCAAAAGAACATATATTATTACCCTTCCCCTGCCGAGTTTAGACGATTTTTAAAAAAATCAGTGCTGTTTCAAATGAAACGTCGAAATAAGATTCCCTTTAGGGTACCTCTTCGTCACAACACGACGTCACATAAATACATGACGTATTTTTCCCGTACCTAACGAATGTAAACAAGAGAAAAGGAGTAGTCTATTGAACGCACTTTTTTGTAATTAATATCAAGCTTTCACAAGGTCAAATTTGTTTTCAATACTGATGGGAATATAGGGTTAACGCACGTTTTTCCGTGTTATAACGTCTGCAGAGTCCCGAGGAACGGTCTCGCCTCCAACAGTTCTGAGGGACTCTGCAGACTTTATAACACGAAATAAACGTGCGTTGACGCTATTATAGCATAAAATTTTAAAACAGATTGATGATGTTTATTTCATACAAAACACAAAGTCAATTACATTAAATCCTTGTGCTTGGACGGTATTTATCCAATTCCACATATTTTACGTATGCGTTTTATTTTTCCGGGGCCAACAACTTGGGAAATTCTCAGAACCAAACGAAATTTTGAATTTTAATTGATTTGACAAAGTTTGACACTGGAGATTTATAGTATCTCAAGAAAAAAAAACAACGTTACATTACTCAACCCTCTACCCAAGACAAAACATGACCCTCAGAAATTTTTAGAATTAAGTGACATCAGAATCGGTTTTTTTTCAAGCACACACGTTTATAAAAAAAATCAGGCACTAAACATTATTCTCTCAAAGAAATATAAAGAGCATTTATCAACAGAAACATCAATGAAACAACATTTTCTCATATTTATTTTGCGTTATCTTGTTTTGTAAGCTAATCGGGGGGTTAAACTGAATATTTGTTTACATTGACAACTGTCCGTTTCTTAGAAAGGGCGACAACAATGATGTCTAAACGCCGTATTTCCGGCATAGTTACTTGAATGTTGCTCGCCGTATTTAATGCGATTTAGGCCCTTGAATCAATAATTTCAATGTAACAAGAGCGTATGACTCTTTGGCAAACAGGCAAAATCGTATTTTTTTTTTTGGTTTGTTTACTGGGCCCTATATGTATTGCGCATAGGTGAAACCGTGCTATAACAAGAGCGCGTGACTATGTTAACACATGGTTTTGGTCCCGTTATTATAACATGGGCAAAATAGGGGAAAATAGCCGATTTTATGCTATAATATGTATCATTACTCTACTTTGGTAAATATTTATCATTTGACAGTTAAAAAGTGCTTGTAAATCGGAATTTACACCGCGTAAAATCGAACCGTACGCGCATCAACTCAGCGCATGTTGTTTAGAACGTTGGGTACCCAACGGGGAAATTTAGTGTGTATATTACCCGTCTGGCTCGGTTATATCAATTTCTTTCGGGTGATCAATATCCAATCAAAAAGGCGGAAAAAATCTGGAAGAGTAATAAAATGTATTTATAATCAAGTAAATGTTCAACTAAATAAGGGGAAGTAACTGCTATATTACCATTTTGCAGTCACCTACGCTGATATGTCGTGGGAACAAGATAAGTATTTCGTGGGAACAAGATATTATCTCGTGGGAACAAGATAATTATTTCGTGGGAACAAGATAATATCTCGTGTGAACAAGATAAATAAAGACACCCATGTGTCACATCTGTGCCACCGTAATAGACACTTGACGTAATAGTATGTTTTCTTGCTGTGCTGGTTGGATACAAACAAGTACATTTAAAAATTACTTATATGTCAAATATTAACTTAACAATATTATATAAATAACACATGGCTGTCATTTTGCATTATGCTAACTGGTTACTAAAGCATTATCGTTTTTATCAATACAGAGTTATGTAAGAGTTATGTAGGCCTACCCCAGGTTGATATAAGAAATATTCCCCGGGGAATATATTCTAGGAGGGTGATATTCGATCAGAACACATTGTAGCCCTATGTTTTATTCTGCAAATCATTTTCAAAAGTACATGTACAAATGATGTCTGTACCAAACTCATATTTATGATACTTTCAAATCAATACTCATTTTGAAATCCAATTGATATACATATAATGAATTATGTAATTATTGTATATTTTATTGAACAGATCACCTAAAACAGTGATTTTACGGGTGATTTGCTACTCAAACCTTTCTCGGGTAAGTCGAGGAAGACTTTCAAATATGAATACCAATTCTACACTTGAGTTCACCTTGACCAAGGCGTCCTCAATTCGTCCTTAAGGAAGCCTTTCCCGAGTTTGAGTGGAGGTTGAGTTCGAGTGACGACACTGAGTAGAGTAGCGCAATGCAGATGTTAACAAGATATGTTTGTAAAACATGTATGTCCCCCTAAACACAGCCAATTTAATATTATAACATTAGATTTTTAAATGTGTATAAAAATGCATAGTAAATTTGTTATGGAATACATGAATATCATTGCCATGGGGCAGAACCAATATGACCCATGGGTCCATGAATTAAGTAAACCCTGTAGTTGTCAATGAGACAATGTTACACACAAATATCTTCTAAAAACAAGCTTTTCATAGTGAGATCACTGTGACCTTAACCTTTGACCTACTGACCCCAAAGTTAATAGGGGTCATCTACTAGTCATGACCAACCTCCACACCAAATATGAGGACCATCAGCCGAAGCATTGTCTAGTTATTGAGCGGAAATGGCATGATCTACGGACGGACCGACCGACCGACCGACATGGGCAAAGCAATATACCCCCACTTCTTCGAAGGGGGGCATAATAACTTATTTTATTTGACTTTTTTATCGTTGGTACCGGTTGCCCATGTGACCAACGTCCCCTGAAGATTGTTAGTATATTATTTTTCGGGGGATAGTGCATGATACAGAAGACGCCCCGTTCCAGAGGCGACCCTGGTTCTTTTAAGTGCCCGGTGTAAGGCACCAGTACAATGCACCTCGGTTTAACTTATTTTCCCCCCTTTTAATAGTAAGGGAGATAGACTGTATCCAACAATCAACTTATTTTCAAATACATTTTT